TTAGCCCACAGATGGACCCAGACGCCCTAACTGGTTTGGCTCAGTGGATAGAGCGTTGGCCTGTGGACTGAAGGGTCGGTCCCAGGTTCGATTCCGGTCAAGGGCATGTACCTTAGTTGCCGGCACATTCCCAGTAGGGGGTGTGCAGGAGGCAGCTGATGGATGTTTCTCTCTCATCGATGTTTCTAGCTCTCTATCCCTCTCCCTTCCTCTCTGTAAAAAATCAATCCTATATAATGTAAGGGTAATATGCAAATCGACTAAACAGTGTAATGACCAGTCGCTATGCGCACTGATGACCACCAGGGGACAGATGTTCAACGCAGGAGCTGCCCCCTGGTGGTCAGTACGCTCCCACAGGGAAATCGCCGCTCAGCCACAAACTGGGCTGATGGCTGGCAAGCGCAGTAGCAGTGGCAGGACCCTCTCCCGCCTTTGTGGCAGCACTAAGGATGTCCGACTAATGGCTTAGGCCTGCTCCCCATGGGCCTAAGGCGAGCGGGCCTAAGCCATCAGTGGAACATCCCCCAAGGGCTCCCGGACTATTAAAGGGTGCAGGCCGGGCTGAGGGGGACCCCTTCCCCAGTGCACAAATGTCGTGCACCGGGCCACTAGTAAAATATAAAAAACAAAACAAAACAGATGGACCCAGAGGCTGTGATCCTGTCAGGATGGCCTCCGGCCTCCCGTGGATTCGGTTCTGCTCTCTGTGAGGAGCGCTAAGGAACAACGGGAGACAGCGACGTTCTGAAAGCACGCAGTACCTGGCTGCTCAGTCAGGGGCACTGGCCTCTTCTCCTTAGGTCATCACATTAAGCAATGACAACAGCCAACACCACGGCGGTCTAGTGTGAATGAATCAAAATTATTTCTATTTTTTTGTCAGATCGGCAAAAACCATTTTTGGCGTGCCGCCGCAGCACTGTAGTCATGAGCTGACGTGCGCCATGAGGTGAAAAGGTTGAAAATCGCGGAGGTAAGGGGAGAACGCGGCATTCGCTTTCCCGTCAGCTGGAACACGAGTCCGACACCTCTGGGCAGCCTGTGAGCTGGAGGAGTTCAGCTTCTCCGCAGTCTTTCCTCCTAAAAGGCTCATTTAGTGTCACGACTGCTCCCCGCGCCCCCAGGCCTCTGCCCTGGACGGAAGTGACACAGCAGCTTCACGCTCAGCGGAAGCAGCAGCTCAGACTCCGCCTGGCCCACCTCATGGATCCGCCCAATGCTTCAGGGCAGACGCCATCGGGGGCCACGGAGGATGGAGGTCACCTGCTCAGGGGCAGGCGCTCAGCAGGGACACGGCCTGACCGAACGGGAGGCCCCGAGCGGCTCTGCGAGCCTCAGGTCCCTCCACGCCCGACCGGAAACCTCTGCCTGGACGAAGGGGCCGCAGAAGCAGAGACAGAAACTGCCCTGTTTAACGTCATCTCCGATCATGAACGGAAAGGAGACCTCCTCTCATTATTACCTAAAGCACCGAGGACACATGTTCTTCTAACTGAGCGAAACAAGAAGCCCAGGAGGGGATTCCCGAAAGGAGCGACTTCCGGACAGACTCTGTTTCCAGAAGAGCGTGAGGTTCCTGTGGCCCAGGAAACAGACCCGTGAGGGTGGGTGGAGGGGTCACGACCTAAGAGGTTGGGTGGGAATCATGATCCTTCAGAGCGGAGGAAGAGGTCATGACCTGTGAGGGTGGGTGGGAGAAGTCATGACCTGCGAGGGTGGAGGGAAGGGTCATGACCTGTGGGGGGGAGGAGGACCCTCACTGCTTCCCGAGGGAACACGCCCTCCCCCTCCGTGCGGACAGCTCTGCATGTGCCCAGGGGCTGACTCTGCAGTTCATGCTGCTCAGAGTGTAACCCAGTGAGAGCGAAGGGCCGACCCCATCACAGCGCCCGGCCTCCGGGTCCTCAGAGGCGCCAGAGCCTCCCTCCCGGGCCTCCTCCTGAAGCCCCACCCCCGCCCGGGAGCCTCTCTCTTCTCAGTTTTAAGAGGGTCTCGCTTCTCTTATTATTCAACCACTTCCCCAGGTTTCCTGGACTTCCTTGGTGCCCTCACCGTGTCTGGTTTCACACTATCTTACTGCTCTGACCAGTGACTCCTCTGGGTCTTGGTGATCCCGGGATCCCCGCTGTCGGCCTTCCCCACCCGCCCGCGGTGTGGAGGTCTCCTTAGGTCATCACATTAAGCAATGACAACAGCCAGCACCACGGCTGTTTAGTGTGAATGAATCAAAATTATTTCTATTTTTTGTCAGATTGGCAAAAACCACGGGGTCATGACCTGTGAGGGTGGTCCTCAGTTCAGGAGCCTCACCCGGCGCCGGACACAGCACTTGCCTTGGAGATGAGCTCGTCGTGATTGGCCAGGTGGGCTCTGCAGTGGACACAGCTGTACGTGCGGTGGCAGTTTGGCAGATAAGCTTGGAAAGTTTTGGACTTGGTCATCTTCACCATGTCTGCGGGGCACTCCTCGCTCAGCGTGGGGCCGGCGCTGAGCGCGC